AATTCAATTTAGTACGAGAGGAACCGTTGATTCAGATAATTGGTTTTTGCGGCTGTCTGACAAGGCATTGCCGCGACGCTACCATCTGCCGGATTATGGCTGAACGCCTCTAAGTCAGAATCCGTGCCGGAAAGCGGCGATACCTGCCCCGCACGTTGTAGTTGGATACAAATAGGCCTCGGCCCTGAACCTCAACAGGCCGGCACCGGCGCCTCGGCGCCAGCTGGCGGATTGCAATGTCACCACGCGCGGGGATAAATCCTCTGCAGACGACCGAAGTGAGCAAGCGGGTCGTGTAAGCGGTCAAGTAGCCTTGTTGTTACGAGTCGCTGAGCGTCAGCCCGATCCTTGCCTAGATTTGTTGTAACACCCTCCCACCAAGCGGTATCCGGCGAGAGATCCGGGCCTTTAGAGGGGGGGAAGCAGCAGGTTTTGGGGGGGGGGGGGGAGAGTGGAACGAAAGGGTACTCTGGAAGATGTGATACTTTGGGAGGGGTCGGATGGGCTTTGACAGCTGTATATAGCGTGGTCATGTCTGGCCACTCGGTCAGGTTGTTATTTTTTCTCCTTCTGCGTTTTGTGCGTTGGGGGTGGGGGGCGACGGCGGCCTGCGGCCGCCGCCTCGGGGGGCCCCCTTCGAGGCCGGAAAAGTGATTTTGAAGGCGTAGTTCGGGGTCAAAACAGCAGTCCGACAGCTAAGGTTAGGGGGCGCGCGTGCCCGCCGGAGCGGTCCGACAGCTGTACACTTATTTTGCTAAAGGCAAAAGACATAGCCGTAGTTATAAAAATTTTAATAATATAAATAAATACAAATACTTCATATCTTTTTTCCAATTTGCTATTTTGTAGATGCGAGGTTGTAGAATGCTCCCAACCACTCCGGGGGCGTTTGCCCTAGACGCCCCCGAATCGTTCCGGGGTTGATCCAGGCGTGCTCTACGGTCGATTTGGGGGCGATTGGTATGCACCTCGCCGCCGCCGGACCCCTATGGACCCTCCAAAATCGAGTGGTCCCAGGGGGGCCGTTTTCTAGAAATGGACCCTCTGGCCAAACGGACCCTCTGGCAGGACGGCCCCTCGGGCCAAATGGACCCTCTGGCCAAACGGACCCTCTGGCAGGACGGCCCCTCGGGCCAAATGGTCCCTCTGGGCCAGACGGACCCTCTGGGCCATTTTCACAAAATGGACCCTCTGGCCGAGGGGCCACGGCCCCCCTAGGGGGGCCATTTGGGGCCGAAAAAAAAAAGTGCTCCAAATCGCTCCGGGGTTGATCCAGGCGTGCTCTACGGTCGATTTGGGGGCGATTGGTATGCACCTCGCCGCCGCCGGACCCCTATGGACCCTCCAAAATCGAGTGGTCCCAGGGGGGCCGTTTTCTAGAAATGGACCCTCTGGCCAAACGGACCCTCTGGCAGGACGGCCCCTCGGGCCAAATGGACCCTCTGGCAGGACGGCCCCTCGGGCCAAATGGACCCTCTGGCCAAACGGACCCTCTGGCAGGACGGCCCCTCGGGCCAAATGGTCCCTCTGGGCCAGACGGACCCTCTGGGCCATTTTCACAAAATGGACCCTCTGGCCGAGGGGCCACGGCCCCCCTAGGGGGGCCATTTGGGGCCGAAAAAAAAAAGTGCTCCAAATCGCTCCGGGGTTGATCCAGGCGTGCTCTACGGTCGATTTGGGGGCGATTGGTATGCACCTCGCCGCCGCCGGACCCCTATGGACCCTCCAAAATCGAGTGGTCCCCATGGTCTGATAGTTCCGCCCTTGTATTTTTTCATTTTTGAGGCCGCCAGAATATATTTTATGCAACTCCCTTTATATCTATATCATTTTCGACGGGAATGGGTGCGTCTTCTCGGCGAACGGGCCCTTCTCAACAAAAAAATAATAAAGTTGCCCCGATCCGGCTGTGGACCTCACACGTGACTCCTACCACTCCCCTATACCCCCCCCAGAGGTGCCAGATCGAAAGCACCCCTACCCGCCGACTTATGCCCCCTTCGAGTTTTGAAATCAAAAAAATTTTGACTAAGTCCGCGTTTTTGTTCTGTTCGAGCCTCTGCGAAACGTCAATTTTGCGGGCGTCAAGCCCACTTTCGACTGGACCCATACAAATTTCGTGCAAAATCGGACCCGACTGGGCCCACTCCACCCATCGCGTGCGAGGTCGCTTAAACAGACCTCGGTGAGTATATGTAGGGTGAGGTGATTCCGAAAAACAAAAAGTGGGCGAAGGGTATCTTCTCTACGTTTAGCGGTTGACCTTCATTCTAGCTATGGTTCTGGGGGCATTCGTGGGCTTGGGCGCGGCTGGTTGGGCGTTGGCTAGTTAGGATTTTTTAACTAAGATTTAGCGGCTCGCCTGTCTGTAATTCGTGCTCTTAGGTTTCTTGTTCGCTGAGATCGGCTCTCGATGTCAAGGCTTCCAGCCCTGGGTTGGGCTTTCGACGTTCGGGGCGGTTCTGCGGCCCTCGGCGGCCTCATGGCTCGGCTGAGGGTT